TGGTGTGTAGTTATGACTAGTTTACCATAAAAATTATGACATGCTTATCACGATTTCTGCCTTAGGGTCTGTGATTTATTTTCACCATGCAGTCATGCCATACCATACCAGTTTAGCAAACTGTCACGTGAACGAAACCACCGCGAGAGCAGCAAGACCATATAATCTAAATTATGACATTCATGGCATACATATAATGATTTTCATGTTTTGACTAGTCAAATACGCTCGACAAACACAGTCGTGTTATGTCATACCAACTTCCGTATCAATACCATGATTGAAACGGCCAGGAGAGCTAAAGGTCTTAGGCGCCTAGATAGATAGATAGATAGATAGATAGATAGATAGATAGATAGATAGATAGATAGATAAGATAGATAATAATAGATAGATAGATAGATAGATAGATAGATAGATAGATAGATAGATAGATAGAGTTAATTTCCTTCTCCTCGACTAGCTTTTACTCTCACTAAGGAGGAAAGATGTTTGAGGTTCGGAATGGGCCCCCTCGATGATTCGTGTGCACGGTGGCAGCGCGAAGGAAGAGCCGTAGTCCGGTGAAGATATGTTTTATTGCCGCCTCCAGCGTCTACCCGAATAAAAGCCCGAAACTCCACTCTGCTATTTGAAATTCAAACGTCCTCTTTTCAACCTTCGGTGGAACAAAATCCACACAAGCCAATCACATGTGTGGGCCCCCATCACCACACCCAATCGCAAAACACTTTCAGTACAAGCGCTTCATTGGTGAAAATCCCATTACGAAATACACCACGAGAGGAGATAGGTTCTCCCCTTGTCACACTCTCTCCCATGCCAGGCCGTGTATCGGTCGACTTCTATCGGTAGCCGTTATCACGTTCGGGCTCCATCAACTTTCCCATTAACGTCGCTTCGTAGAAACCTCCGAAAGCGCGGAGATTACACCACCTGGCCCTTGTGCTGACCAGGTGTGCACGCGACAGTGAGGCGCCCCGCCATCCTGATTGATTGATATGTGGGGTTTAACGTCCCAAAACCACTATATGATTATGAGAGGCGCCGTAGTGGAGGGCTCCGGAAATTTGGACCACCTGGGGTTCTTTAACGTGCACCCAAAATCTGAGCACACGGGCCTACAACATTTCCGCCTCCATCGGAAATGCAGCCGCCGCAGCCGGGATACGAACCAGCGCCCTGCGGGTCAGCAGCCGAGTACCTTAGCCACTAGACCACCGCGGCGGGGGCCCCGCCATCCTAACAACAGTCGGTAATGACGTATAGTGGGGGAGAATAAACTCGTCTGCGTGCCGTCATCATATCTCGAACAGCCCAGTGGTCGCGTCCTTGCGTTATTCTCAATGGCACGCGTGTATGCCAACAATGACTTGAACTCAGACGGCGGCGCTTAGCCTACTTCTTGCAAGGCACTCTCCCGAGTAAGCTTTCCCCTTCTAGTCCCAGACGTGGGCGACCTTGACGGTTCGCTCGTGAACCGTGAGAACGAAGGATTCTCCTTTCTTTCCCGTACTCGTGTCTTCCGCGTTCACCTTCGCGGAACCGATCAGCTGTGTTAGTTGATGGGTCGGGAGCTGGCTCCCCAGTCTTCATCAGCCGCAGTTATCGTGCTACACACAACACGCCAATAATTGTTGCCTCATACTAACTGATAGATAGATAGATAGATAGATAGATAGATAGATAGATAGATAGATAGATAGATAGATAGATAGATAGATAGATAGATAGATAGATAGGAGAACCCCAAGTGGTCGAAATTTCTGGAGCCCTCCACTACGGCGTCTCTAATAATCATATGGTGGTTTTGGGACGTTAAACCCCACACATCATCATCCTTCTCGCGTCTTCGTGTGTGAGTAGGAAGGAAAATAGGGGGAAAAGAACGGCAGGGAAGTTAACCAGCCTATAGGCAGCCGGTTTGCTACCCTGCGCAAGGGAGAGGGATGGGGAAGATGGAAGATAGTGAGCAGAGAGGGAAGAGAGAAACACAGCGCATTCGGCAGCACACGCGCGCACACGCGCGCACACTCAGTCATAGTCCAGTCTTGTCTTTCGCGGTGTGTGACATTGCTATTACAGTCGCTTGTTCAAGTCCGGGTCGCGTAGAATTTTCAACAGAGCTTTCGTCACCTTCTGTTGCATTGTGTTTTCTCGGGCACTTGACAGAATAGTGTCCACAGACATTTGGCTGTTGTCTAAGCTTGCAAAAGTGGACGCCAGTGACTGTCTCTGGATTTCATACAACGGACAGCCACACAGGATGTGGTGTAGCGTCTCTTCGCAATGAGTAGTGTGCTCCTTTTGTAAACGTGGCTGTGGCAGCGAGTGAAATCAGCTTCGTGCTCTGCTGAATCATGAGTTTGATAAGTGCGCGCGCGGGAAAGAGTATGCTTGTGCGGAGGCGAGCGCTCATCCAAACGAGAGAAACAATGACCTTTCCAGCACGCCAATGCGCGTGCCCTTCGTGCCATCTCACTACAGTTGTCAAAAACGCGCTGAAAGGGGTGGAGCTCTGCTGACTTCCGAATGGTATATCGATAGATTACCCTTAGCAATCCTCACAACCGGCACTTCCTGGCCAAGTGGTTTGCTGTGGCGCGCTGAGCAGTGACAGGTCGCTGATTCAACGCCCCGCGACGGGAACTATTCATGTTTTTTAAATGCGAAGCATTGCTCAGCGAACTTTGGCGACTATAGCGTATTTATCTATCTAGCCGCTTACCTTTGGGTGCTCTCGTAGTCACCCCTTTAACTTGGCGCGAACCAAAACTAGCATATGAGGGTATACGATGGTTTGACGAATATGACGCGCTGGTCAGGACATGAATAATTTCCCAATCCTGTGACTTACGTCGTCTAAACACTTCGCGCCAGGCAGTGACACATACCATTGGGCGAATATGTGCCGCTGGTATGCGGGTATGTGCCGCAGGTGACTGACACGTATCTACCGAGGAACGACGAGAACACACATGGCCAATTTTAACGCGCGAGCGTTAAGAAATATCCGACATTGGTAGCGTCGACCTGACCAATGCCAAAGAACAAATGTCAGAGTTCCAGCTGGAATCAAACTCAAGCATCCTGTGTCGCAATGAAGCATTTTATCCCAGTTACGCCAGGTCTCAGAACTACTTTTCAAATAAACGTTAATTTTCGTGAAAGGTGAGTAGCAGTTGCAGTACAGCCTACCCAATTTTATAAACACAACATATGTACTCCTTTGCATACAGCCAGCCATCGCGTCGAGTTAACGTAAATTGTGGCTAGTTGCCATGCGCTAAAGTTGGTTTATATAGCAGTGTCCAGGGCAAGCATCCTCGCGAGCATCAGCGCTTCATATCAGCATCTGGTGTTGCTAACACGCATGATTTTGTTGACATTGTTGCACAAGCGTGAACAACTGGTTATATGAACATCTGCAACTCTAAAACAAGTGTTTGTGGGTGCACATTTGTAAATATATTTACCATCATTACATGACGTGTCGCTCAATAAAAACATTTGCAACACATTCACCTTTCCTTCGCATACTTCGCATAGCGTCGATAAAGCCACTTGAGTTTTGGCGAATCCCCCATAGTGGATATGCGCCACGATCAATAGGTGGACAAGAACAAGCACCTGGTACGTGGTATCTGCCATTTTTTTGGAAACTGCTAGTATAAATCTTCAAACGTTATATTCAAGACGGAAATATGTCAGCGGAGCTGTGGTGGACTGCTGAACTGAAACTATCGCGTTAAAATAAATTCGCAGATCCCACCTACTTTCGGAATCGACGTTATACGAAGCATGTAGAGGGAACGTGATCGTGTTGTAATATTTGTATTGAGCGACAGGTCACAAAGTTACGTAAATGCATGTAGAAATGTTGCGCGTGCAGATATATGTAGAAGCGCTGCAGATATTTGTATAACTGGTTGTTTGCAACTTCACAGTGATGCCAACAGGAACATGAGTATTATCAACACAGCAATAAGCTGATATGAAGCGCAGGTGCTCGCGAGGATGGTAGCCCTGGATACTACAACTTAATTAGACTTCAGCGCATGGCACTGTAACCACAACTAAGGTTACCAGACGTGAAGTCTGTATCATCGAGAGCATATAGAATGTTTATAAGATTGGATAGCCAGCACTGCAACCACAATTGTCGTTTCACGAATATTAGGGTCTATTTGAAAAGTAGTTTCGAGGCCTGGCTTCGTCTGTGGTAGATTGATTGATGAACGATTGGATTCAATTCCTGCTGGTCACACTGATATTTCATCGTAAGAAGTTCCACTCGTAGTAATTCTCTCATAGGAAGTTCCGCTCATAGGACTGATCATAGGAAGTATCACTCCATCACGTCCAAGAAGCAACCTTCCATTATTTTGTTTTAATCGTGCCCTCTTACCAGCGTATGCCAAATAGTTTCTTTTTGATTGATCTCGTTGCTACCAGTGAAACGGCCAAGATGCAGTAACACAAGCCACACTTTGTGGCACAACAAGGCCATTTAAAGCAATTATGGTGGTGATGGGATAGCAAAGGATCCGATTCCAGGTGGCTATGAGGCATATTAAGTAAAGGTACTTTAACATCTGCAAGTAGAACCGATTAAGCGACTATGTTAAAGACAAAGCGACTGAGTTTCGGCAATCACAACTGCCTCTTTTTTTTTTTTGAAAAAGGAACTACGTTGGCTCAATCACTCGCTGCTTGATATTTTTTTTTTGCAATCCCCTGAACCAAGATTTTCACAGAAAGAGGACATTCGCTTATCTTGAAGGGTAAGGACAATCCTAGCAGCTTAGAATTCTGCGCCGCGAAGGATATTGGTCGCGCGCGGTTTTGCACATTGGTCGCACAGAGTCACTCTTTGGTAGCTGGTTGTGAATGAATCTTGAGGAATATAATGTTATATGCGTAAGAATGGATAATTGAGTATGTGAATGAGTGTACAGATGATATGATGTCAGATTTATGATTCCTACACAAACCACTAGTTGACAGGTTGTACGTGCACTCTTTATTATTACAGCACTGCACCTCCCGAGACTTCAACCATGGTTCCGACCATGTATGAACTCTGTGGTCCACAGAGGAAGGCCACTACATGCGCCACCTCCCGCGGTTGAGCAGGGCGGCTGAGTGGTATGTTTGCGGTGAGTTGCTTCTTCTCTTCTTCGGTAAGATGGTCAGACATGGGGGTCACCGTGAATCCTGGAAGAACGGCGTTGCAGCGGATGCCAGAACCAGCGACGTCTAGTGCCATGGACTTTGTCAATCCCAAAACGCCAGCCTTTGAGGCCACGTAGCTGGCAAGGCCCTTCATGCCGCTCTTCGCGGTGATGCTAGACACGTTGACAATGGCTGCATCTTTGACCCGAGCGTCAAGCATTCGGCGGATGCCTGCACGGCTCACAAGGAATGTGCCCTGCAGAAGAAAACAACGAAAAAATGTCAATCCCAATTGAGAGCGAGCCATGTACTAAAGGAAGTCAGGTTTCATAAAGTAGAGTTTGCTACGTCTTACGTACTACCATGATTTTTCAAAGCTGTTGTGCTGTCATAACGGGGAAGTCGTTCAGCTGAACCCTTCTCAAAGCTCTCCAGGTCAGGCGCCGCACTCTTTTTTTTTGACGAAGAAATTTTATGAAAGCCTTTTTAATAGAGGTAACTGTAGTGCACATGCTTTATTTTCCTTAATTTTTAAATGAGAGGTTCTTAACATTGCACACTTCCTTGCAGGAGGAACAAAACAGTAAATAAAACACATAGAAACATACCTAATACGTTTTAAGGTATCACATTGTGGTGTAATGCAATAATGATCCAGTCCTAATGATTACAGTGTGAATAAAAACAAAAAAACAAGAAATCTGTTTATGCAAAACATTTTGCTCTATGTTTCGTAGTTTATTCCTTCAAATATGCGTTCTAACTTCTAAAAGAGACGTCTTCTTGATTGTTACAATGTTTCCAGAGATTTGTATTGATAATAGTGAAACTGCTATGGCACAAATTGTTGATAGCGAGTAAGCATATTTTAAGCTACTGAAAAGCTTTGAATCTAAGTCTTCCACGCGTACATCATGCAAATTTCTCTTCAAAGCAGAGCGTGTACCGATAAGATTACAGTGCTTAATGTTACTGATTATTATTGTTACTGATTATAATCGTAATTGATTCTTACTATTAAAGCTGTATCTAGATTAGACCTATTCAACTACACACAAACAACGGAGGTCATAGTTTCGTTCACGGCGCAGAAGAATATGTTTTAAGCATATAAATGTTTATGTTCTATGTGGATATGCAAAGAGTTACTATTTCCTCAGCATAAATTTTCGTAAATATATGATAAGTGTCTCACATATAAAATTGAGGGCATTTATAAAACAGAGGTACTTCTAATTGCAAATTTCACTCTTAGGTGCTAAGCTAAGCACTTCGCTAAGACTTGCTGTAAACTTGTCAATGTTCTTATCTCAGTGTTTCGCTGGACGAGTTACTATATCCTGATTTTTAAAAGGAGCACCAAATTTCACTTCAGTTAATGTACTGGTACATAAAATGTATGTACTTATTGTGCGTTCATTTGGAGCAATGTGTACTCTTTTTAGACGTTTAATGATCTACCATCTCGGCTTGATGAAAAAACACGTTTTATACATACAGAATACAGTGCTATAAACAATTCAGCCAATTTTAGTGGTCGCGCACTGCACGTGGAGTTTGCAAACGGAGCGTAGAGCTGTTACTTTTTAAAGTGCCATCTCTTCATACAGAGGCCCAGAATTCACTCACAGAGGCAGGAAAAAGGCGAGCTGCACGTCCCCGAAAAGCACATCACTCCTATTGAACTGCAACTGCAGTATATAAAAATCGTCGTTGGTCTCAAAATTTCTTCTTGGCATGGTGTTTTACCACGTGACAGAGAACTGCTCCAAAATATCTTCAAACTGTGGAGTCCTACAACTAGAGCGGAAATTGAAAGAGGGATAAGAGCCTTGTGACGCACAGTCAGGGTCTTGGCACGTGCTTATGTAGCTTCTTTTTCTGTGTCACCAGTGCGTGTGTAGATCACAGCGTGCTAGACGAAGAAATTGACGAGAGGAATAGCTTAACATTCGCCGGAGGTCCCTAGAACATTTTTAGTTTATAGCGTTTTCAGTAATTGACTAATGGTGCAATAAACTCTGATAATAAAATGTAAGAATACTTTCAGATGCCTAGGTAAGACAACCTTTTAATGCGCCGGACAGCAGCGAGACAGGCGACAGTCGTTTTGGCAGAAGCAGCATGAGCCTCAGCCACAACAAACGTCGTCTTCGTCGTTGCTTCAGCAGTCTCTGTATTTGTCACTACAATGATTTTCCGGTCAAAAAGGAGCCATCCTGGCGACCTATGGTACAAGCAGGACTTGTGGGTCATAGTGGTGTTTCAAACAGTCGGCGTACACACTTTCGTGCCCACGGCACCATTTCTCTGTAGGTGGCTCAATAGGCTCAACAATGTAGTTGACTGACAATGTCAGGTGCAGGACCCGGTGTGGAGCGTCATACTTGGGTATAAACTTTAGGGAAAGGCAGGGGGCAGACGACGGCACGCGGAGCCATACAATTATTCCAGGGGCGTATGACGAAGGGGGTGAACGTCAATCATCAGTGTGCTTCAGGCGAGCCTTATCGTGCGTGGTAAGTAAACGTGCGAGCTGCCGATATTCTTCTGCATAAGTGGCGGCTTCGGCAAAAGTCATCTGAAGGGTCTGGGTGGTACAGAAGGATGGTGTCCAAAAACGAGGAAGGTTCCCGACCATAAAGAATGAAGAACGAGGAGTATCCAGTTATAGATTGAATGGCGCTGTTATAAGCATAAGTAATGAATGGCAGTATGCGGTTCCAAATTGTGTGGTCATGGGAAACCTAGATGGAGAGCATATCAACTGCTGTGCAATTAAATCGCTCGGTCATCACGTCAGTTTCGCCCCAATAAATCGTGGGGAAGTGGCGAGCGAGAAAGAGCGTCGGCGTCTGAATGCTTGCGGCCTGACCGGTAGATTTCACGGATGTCGTAATCTTGAAGACGTAGCGCCCAGCGAGCTAGGCGACCAGATGAATCTTTTTATGATGACAACCAACACAATGCGTGGTGATCAGTCACGACGTCGAATGGGTGGCCATACATGTATGAGGTAAGAATTTCGTGATTGCACAAACGATGGCAAGACATTCTTTTTTCGTGACTGAGTAGTTCTTTCCCGCTTTAGTGAGGGTGCGACTAGCGTAGGATAACACACACTCGTGGAAGCCAGATTTAGGCTGAGCAGGAATAGCGCCGAGGCCTACTCCACAAGCGTCCGTTTGGATTGCGGTTGGAACATCAGGATCAAATTGACGTGGGATAGCGGGCGATGTCAGAAGATGGCGTAAAGAGGCAAATGTTTCGTAGGATAAAGGGGACCACGCCCAAATGTCTTGATTGTTGACAAGTAGCTGTGTCAGGGGTGCAATTATGCTGGCAAAATTGCGCCCAAAACGGCCAAAATATGAACAGAGGCCTAAGGAGCATGCGGAGTTTTTTTAGTGTAGACAGCCTGGGAATGTCTGCGACAGCACGAAGCTTGGCTAGATTAGGACGGACACTATGCTTGCTAACAACATGCCCCAAGATGGTAAGCTGGCGGGCGGCGAAGTGGCATTTCTTCAAAATCATCTGTAGTCCAGCATCAGTACAACAAGTCAGGACGCTTGCGGGGCGGCTGAGGTGGGATTTGATGTCCTTCGAGAAAACGACGACGTCCTCCAAAGAGCACAGGCATGTGTTCCATTTATTGCCTCTGAGGATCTTGTCCATGGAACGTTCGAAGGCAGCAGGCGCAGTACAGAGGCCGAACAGCATCACTTTGAACTCGTACAATCCGTCAGGTGTTACAAACGCAGTCTTGGAGCAGTTGGCTTCATGCATAGGGACCTGCCAGTAACCTGACCGAAGGTCTCAATAAGAAAAGAACTCTGCTCTTTGCAGGAAATTGAGGGCGTCATCAATCCTGGGAAACAGATAAACACCCTTGCGCGTGATCTTATTAAGGCGCCTATAATCAACGCAGAATCTGATGCTTCCATCCTTCTTTTTCACCAGTACAACACGAGAGGCCCAAGGGCTGTTTGAAAGTTGTATTACGCCACGTCGAAGCATATTGTTCACTTGATGATCAATAACACGGCGTCAAGCGTGAAAAACTCGATATGAGGTCTGCCGCAAAGGTACATGGCTACCGGCGTCAATGTGGTGAACGATGGCAGACGTGCGACCCAAAGATGCTTGGGTATGGTTAAATGACATCTTGAAGCGATCAAATAGAGACTGGGAGTAGGGTACACTAAGCAGCGGGAAGTTCAGGGTCAATCAATTAAAAAAATAACGCTGGAGATGAAGTGACAGTGGTATCAAAAGTAGTGGTGCTTACCTGAGATGGTGGCAAGTCATCAGGTAGGTGACTTGACGAAACAGAACCCATTTCTTCTAGGTGATCGGTGAGGTCACCACGGATACGATGACTGAGTAAAGAAGCGAGCTCGTTATATAGATGAGGCCACAAGAGTTTTCTATGGTGACAACTGCGAATGGGAGAAGGAAACTTTTGCGAGAGCCTAATGCGTCGGAGGGAATAAATAGGGTGGCCACAGAGGGCGCATCGTCGCAGAAGAGTGGAACAAGAACAGAGGATAGAGAAGAGATGAGTGACAGCGGCGACAATGACTCGAGATGATAACGGCTGGAAAGAGGGTCTATCAGACGTTGTCGCTTAACACAAGGGCAGTTCCCACATAGTCGACAACTCTAATTCAGCACGCGCACAATGAACGACGGCATGATGAGCATAAAGGAAGTCCCAGCCCAAAATGATGTCATGTGAACATGGGGACACAACGAATTCAACTACATACAAACTATTCTGGATGAGCAGTCGAGCTGTGCACGCCACAGAAGGTTGAATGTGATGCGCAGAGGCCGTGTGGAGAGAGACGTCGGTAAGCGGCCGCGTAAGCTTCTTTAACTTGTGACACAGTTCACCACTAAACACGAACACGGCAACGCCCTGTCCGTGCTTTGCTGTTTTATTCTAACGGCAAAGTATTTGGTGAATAATGCAAAAACAAAATATAGTTTTTTTTACATTTCACCTGTTTAACAAAGGCGTGAATTTTTGCGATGGCATGTAATGACCTGCATGACAATGTTGAAATTTCCTTATAATGTTGCATTATAAGAACGTTCATTAGCATTCGAGGAAGGACATCCGAAATAAATGCACATCCATAAAAAGTCGGCAGAACTTCAGCACTAGGACTGTAGGATCACCCAAGATATTTTGTGTACATTACATGCATACCTCTAAATGCCTAGGAAAGAGAAAACATCACCTGTGTT